AAGAAAACACAGCAAACAAACAAACACTACAATCCCAAGCTAATGTGTGATAAACTCTTGTTTTCATTCTCATCTCTTCCAAGGAAAGCTATTGGCATAAGATATAAAAATTTAACTTTAATCACATAATACAGAGATGAGGTGACAGATTAAAGATGTCTGGAAATGTTCTTACCAACACCTTAAGGCTGGTGTATAACAATGTGTCCTAACCACTAAGTCCTTAGGATATTAACAGGTATTTCATAAATAAAGGGATGAATGGTCACACAAGCTAGAAAACTGCCAGCTTTAACAAAATTGACCAGGTTTCTTTACTGCAGAACTTCAAAGCCTTTAATGGGCTTGTGCGCACTGTGAATCTCCCAGAGCAGGTACAGAGGCAGCAAATTCATCTTACCACAGAGCTCTATTACTATCTCCCAGGAGGCTACTTTATCAAAAGTAGTGTGGGAAAGATTGAAACATATAGGTGCCCCATACAGGTGGTTAGTTGATATACTCCTGGGGCCAATATTAGGAACTTGACATGGCACGAAGACAACGCACCATCATGTACCGACCACCCAAGACTTCCTCTAGTGTCCCACATTCAGTGGGTGAGGGGAGCACGGGGGAGGGGAGTGGTGAAGGGTTCTTCTGCCTGCTTTTCTTACACACCTGTTTCTGGAGTCTGAAATCTCCATAGTTAGGCAGCTGAACTGGAGGCTTGGGCTGAGCGATGGGCTCACTGTTTACAATGTGATGGGAAATCTGGTAGACAAAGAAGCAGTCTCCTTCATTAACAGTGACTTGAGCATTCCCAGGCCCCCATCAGCTCCTCAGTCACCAAGCCCCAGAGCAAGCAGGAAACCCACATCGAGTAGCTCAGATAAGAACTGCTGATAACAGCAGCACAGTTCACGACCAGGAAGTAACTACTGTCACTTGCACAGCAGGAGAAACATAAGGAGGTTGGTCACAAAAGCCTTTTCAGACAAGTCTTCCATGCATTCATTCAGGTGACTCCCAAGCCCCACTCAGAAACCAGTAGCTGGTAGATAAGCACCTCTGGAATGTTGTGACAGTTTTACTGTTGGTGCAAATCAGGAGTCAGCTCATCTAGGTCCTTCTAGGGGTATGTGGTGAAAGTCTCAATTGCCAATGCAATGGATCCCTGTCCTCCCATGCACACAGATACTTTGACTCCAACTACAGGAAGGGGGAGAGACCTTCAGGAAATGGACCTTGGTTCTATTGTTTACCAACTATGTCACCACGGGTGACTTGCTTAACCCTTGTATGGTTCAATTTCCTCCTCTGCTTTTCTAAAAGGTTAATAGAAGGGGGCAGCAGAGGATGAGATGAATTGACAGCATAACCAACTCAATGGATGTGAATCTGAGCAAATTCCAGAAGACAGTGAAGGACAGGAGAGCCTGGCACACTGCGGTCCATTGGGTTACAAAGAGTCAGACACGACTTAGCAACTGAACAATAACAATAAAATAATGTGTACCTATATCATAGGATTTTTGTGAATATTAACTAAAACACTGAAAGCACTTAAGGGGCTTCCCTGGAGGTCCAGTGGTTAAGACTCTGTGCTTCCAATGCAGGGGCCCTGGGCTTGATATTGGGTTGGGGAACCAAGATCCCACATGCTGCACACCATGGCCAAAAAAAAGAAAACCGAGAAACAATTTTGCACAAACTCATGCTGTATTACAGATGCTCAATAAACACAGTTAGTAATTTAAATCCCGCGCTTCAGCAGCCCAGGACTGTGGCCAAGGTCCTGTGTTCCTGCTGGGAAGTCAAGCCCAACTTCCTGCTGGGAAGTCAAGTTTGCTGTGAAGTCTAGTCCAAAGAATAGCAAGGAGAGCTAAGAAAGCCTTACTCAGTGATCAATGCAAAGAAAGAGAGGAAAACAATAGAATGGGAAAGACTAGAGATCTCTTCAAGAAAACTAGAAATACCAAGGGAACATTTCATGCAAAGATGGGCTCAATAAAGGACAGAAATGGTATGGACCTAACAGAAGGAGAAGATATTAAGAAGAGGTGGCAAGAATACACAGAAGAACTATACAAAAAAGATCGTCATGACCCAGATAATCATGATGGTGTGATCACTCACCTAGAGCCAGACATCCTGGAATGTGAAGTCAAGGGGGCCTTAGGAAGCATCACTATGAACAAAGCTAGTGGAGCTGATGGAATTCCAGTTGAGCTATTTCAAATCCTGAAAGATGATGCTGTGAAAGTGCTGCACTCAATATGCCAGCAAATTTGGAAAACTCAGCAGTGGTCACAAGACTGGAAAAGGTCAGTTTTCATTCTAATCTCTAAGAAAAGCAATGCCAAAGAATGTTCAAACCACCACACAATTGCACTCATCTCTCATGTTAGCAAAGCAATGCTCAAAATTCTCCAAGCCAGGCTTCAGTAATACATGAATTGTGAACTTCCAGATGTTCAAGCTGAATTTAGAAAAGGCAGAGGAACCAGAGATCAAATTGCCAACATTCACTGGATCATCAAAAAAGCAAGAGAGTTCCAGAAAAACATCTACTTCTGCTTTACTGACTATGCCAAATCCTTTGACTGTGTGGATCACCACAAACTGGAAAATTCTGAAAGAGATGGGAATACCAGACCACCTTACCTGCCTCCTGAGAAATCTGTGTGCAAATCAGGAAGCAACAGTTAGAACCCGACATGGAACAACAGTCTGGTTCCAAATAGGGAAAGGAGTACGTCAAGGCTATATATTGGCACCCTGCTTATTTAACTTATATGCAGAGTACATCATGAGAAATGCTGGACTGGATGAAACACAAGCTGGAATCAAGATTGTTGGGCGAAATATCAATAACCTCAGATATGCAGATGACACCACCTTTATGGCAGAAAGTGAAGAGGAACTAAAAAGCCTCTTGATGAAAGTGAAAGAGGAGAGTGAAAAAGTTGGCTTAAAGCTCAACATTCAGAAAACTAAGATCATGGCATCCGGTCCCATCATTTCATGGCAAATAGATGGGGAAACAGTGGAAACAGTGGCTGACTTTATTTTTCTGGGCTCCAAAGTCACTGCAGGTGGTGACTGAAGTCATGAAATTAAAAGACGCTACTTGGAAGAAAAGCTATAACCAACCTAGACAGCATATTAAAAAGCAGAGACATAACTTTGCCAACAAAGGTCTGTCTTGTCAAAGCTATGGTTTTTCCAGTAGTCTTTTATGGATGTGAGGGTTGGACTATAAAGAAAGCTGAGTGCCGAAGAATTGATGCTTTTGAACTGTGGTGTTGGAGAAGACTCTTGAGAGTCCCTTGGACTGCAAGGAGATCCAACCAGTCAATTCTAAAGGAAATAAATCCTGAAAATTCACTGGAAGGACTGATGCTGAAGCTGAAACTCCAATACTTTGGCTACCTGATGCAAAGAACTGATTCATTTGAAAAGACCCTGATGCTGGGAAAAACTGAAGGCAGGAGGAGAAGATGACAACAGAGGATGAGATGGTTGGATGGTATAACCGACTTAATGGACATGAGTTTGAGCAAGCTCTGGGATTTGGTGATGGACAGGGAAGCCTGGCATGCTGCAGTCCATGGGGTTGCAAAGAGTCAGACATGACTGAGTGACTAAACTGAATAATTTAAATAAGTAGAAATCATAGCCAAAGAAGGACAAGGATGGAACTAAAGCTTTTGGTAGTAATGCACGCATGCTCAGTCCTGTCCAACTCTTTGTGACCCCGTGGACTATATCCCATCAGGCTCCTCTGTCTATGGGATTTTCCGGACAAGAATACCTGAGTGGGTTGCCATTTCCTACTCCAGGGGATCTTCACAACCCAGGGGTCAAACTGGCACCTCTTTTGTCTCCTGCATTGGCAGGCAGACTCTTTATTGCTGTGCCACCTGGGAAGCCCCTGAACTAAAGCTTGGCAGGCGATAAATAGGAGAAATTCAATAAACACTTGTTGGTTAACCAAACTCTCATAAAGCTAATGCTGGACTATTGGAAAACTAAGTTCTCACTTGTTTATATGTGGGTCAGGAGGAATAGGGCTTTTAATTACCCTGAAAACTGAAGGAAGAAGCCAATGTCTCATGGTATTTACATCTTGAGGTTGAGTGGATACTAAAGACCATCTAATTCTCTAAGAGAAGGACAAATCAATGTTAAAAGTGGTTTCAGTCACTCAGCGAGTCCTGAGATGCACCATATGGAAAGGTATGCTCTGAATTATCCAGAGCAATGAGGTAGAAAATGAGACTGTGTACAGAGACATTTGTCAACATTTTCTGCCAAAAGTTGTTAGAGGGTCCTCAAAGATAGTTTCTTCAGCAGCAATTAATGAAAGGAAGGATCTGTAGCACCCTTTACCACACTCTATGGATTTGCTGCTTGCTTCTCATTTTCAACTCTACAAAAAGTGATGAATAAAGACATAGAAGCACATGTCAAAAAGGCAGAATTCATTCACAAGTGAAACAGATTCAGGTGACACACTCTTCCAATCCTGCTAGATCAGCTTACTGTCCCAAAGGCAAATACCATCCTAAAAAAAGTACTGTGAACCCAAACCACAGCACTAAACCCATGCTGATGACCATTTATTTTTAATTTATGCAGAATACCGCTCCTAAAACACCAAGGAAAATATAGGCGCTCAATGTACACATACTTCACAGAATATACATGTTCCCTAGCCACAATCAGAGAGGCACTCCTTCTGCTCCTCTCTGTGTGAAAAGCCACTTGCAACCCTCTATCGACAAGACTGAACTGCTTCACACATTTGCTTAAGGAGACTGTCTCTTCCATCTGAGGCTGGGGGGTGGCTGGATAGGAAGAAACTCAGCCATGCTCTGCTCTCCCAGTCCAATGCAGACATCATGTTGGAAACCTGATTGGTCAGTTCAGTGGTGATCAACCCGTGCAAAGGAAGCACAGTGGGAGGACAACTCCCTACGGAAAGACAGTATACAAAAATCAATGTTGTCTCCTACCTGAGATGGACAAGGTCTTGGAGGGAGCGCAGGTGGTGGAGGTAACAATCCTGACTTTGAAGCTGAAAAGAAAAACACACACTGTTAAGGACCACCGGAGCGGAGGCGGGAAGGAGGAAAGCCCTCTTCCACTTGTAAAACAGGAAGAGCTATTGCATTTAACGTGTTTAAATTCTTAAAATCTGTGGGCTAATTTTTTTTAAAAAAAGACCACATGCTATTCCAATCCCCTTTTCACTTCCATCCTATTCAAAGTCCAAATATTTATATAGGCTGTTGTAATTAAGATAGTGTAAAACAGTAAGGAAATGACACCCTTTGATCAAAAAGACCGGGATGCAGAACAGGATGGACAGTCAATCCCTCATTATTCCGATATTAATTATTTAGTTTCAAATACTCTAGGCCCTTTGGCTCCTCGCCTATTTCTCACAAGCTCTCAGCCATTACACTGCTCATTATCTTGAGTTGGGAGCCAGAACCCTAATAAGGCGGTGCTGCTGCCCTGTAAGTCAGTGGGTCTGACAGCAGTAGGGGAGGCTGAAAATGATGGACTAAAATGATATTTAGGGATTCTTCAAAGATCTCAATTTCTGATAATTAAACCTGTTTCTAAAATAATCTGGCCCCATTTGAAGCATCTTCTGAAAGAAAGTTTCATTCTAACTTTTTGAAAAATTTTATGAGATATAGAGAAAACTGGAGTTAAGCCAAGAATGTCTGAGTTGTAACTTAACAATGAAAACAAACATCTGCTATTGAATTATAAATAAGGCTCATGATCACATGCAAGAAATGAGTTTATTATCACACACTGGTCAAGTAAAACCGCATTCTTTACAAACTTCTTTGAAAAGCGTACCATGCTCTATATAACTATAGGCAGTTTACTTCCAAATCTGTAATATGTGTGCTAATATTTGGACAACTTTCTATGCCTTAAAAATAAATCACAGCAATGTGCCAAGAACATAAAAGTTTTTGCAAATCACTTTTGATTTGATCCAGCTAGATCAGACAAGCTAGAAGATGGAGTTCGGGGCTTTCCACAAAGGTAACTCAGAGTAATTTCATAGAGATTTTCCTCCTGAGCCAGTGCATGAATACAGTACAACCATGTGGGCCCATCAGCAATTTCTCTCAATCTGTCTTTCATTAAAATTTATTAAACACATCAGTAAGTCAAAACTCCAAAAATGGTGAGACCATGAAGAGCCTTCAGTAACAAACCATGCAGCAAGAGAAAATGACAATAGTCTCAGGAATTATCTACCTCAGGGCCCACACTCTATCGGTCCTCAGAGATTGGGCCTTTAAATTGCCAGTTATTTAAAAAAAATAAAATAAAAAAACAAAAATAAACACAAAATCTATGCTTGCCTTTAAAGGAAAGGCCTTTCACCAGAATGGAGTCTATGTTAAAGCAACCCTTCATTAACAAAACAGGACTAAGAAATGATAAGACATTTAATTAAATGAGTTCTGATTTGAGCCAAGATAGAGTAACTGAAGCCAGATTTACCCTCCTTTTTGAAAAAGCCAAAAACAAATATGTAGATGTTTTTTATATAAAATAAACAGTTTCTTTGACACTAGGAAATCAGGCAACAAACCAGGTGAGTCATGTGACTCACTGTCCCTGCTGACAGCCCTGCAAGTTACTAGAAAAAAGAATCTGCCTTCAGATTCATGTCTGATTAATTTCATTTTTATTATTTAATTTTTCAAAAACAAATGCCCTGTTTTTATAAATGATGTTGAGGTATGCTTCTGAATATACTTTTGGATAAAAATATATCATAAATGTTAACAAATATAAACAAGGGTCCCTACAGTCAAAGCTATGGTTTTTCCAGTATTCACGTAGCAATATGAGAGCTGGACCATAAAGAAGGCTGAGCTTGAAAGAATTGATGCTTTCAAACTGTGGTTCTGAAGAAGACTCTTAAGTGTTCTGTGTACAACAAGGAGATCAAACCAGTCAATCCTAAAGGAAATCAACCCTGAATATTTACTGGAAGGACTGATGCTGAAGCTCCAATACTTTGGCCACCTGATGCAAAGAGCCGACTCTGGAAAAAAACCTGATGCAGGGAAAGACTGAAAGCAAAAAGAGAAGGGGACGGCAGAGGATAAGATGGTTACATAACATCATCAACTCAAAGGACATGAGCTTGAGCAAACTTGGGGAGATGGTGAAGGACAGGGAGTTTGGAGTGCTACAGTCCAAAGAGTTAGACATGATTTAGTGACTGAACAACAGCAACTTGATCTCAAGGGTAACGCATACACTATTTCATTACGAAGCATGGCATTTGCTGTATGTTTGTTTTCAGTTCAGTTCAGTTGCTCAGTCATGTACAACTCTTTGCGACCCCATGAACCGCAACATGCCAGGCCTCCCTGTCCACCCAAACCCTGTCCACCCAAACCCATGTCCATTGAGTCAGTGATACCATCCAACCATCTTATCCTCTGTCGTCCCCTTCTCCGCCTGCCCTCAATCTTTCCCAGCATCAGGGTCTTCTCCAATGAGTGAGCCCTTCGCATCAGGTGGCCAAAGTATTGGAGTTTCAGCTTCAGCATCATCAGTCCTTCCAATAAACACTCAGGACTGATCTCCTTTAGGATAGACTGGTTGGATCTCCTTGCAGTCCAGGGGACTCTCAAGTGTCTTCTCCAATACCACAGTTCAAAAGCATCAATTCTTCGGCGCTCAGCTTTCTGTATAGTCCAACTCTCACATCCATACATGACCACTGGAAAAACCATAGCCTTGAACAGATGGACCTTTGTTGGCAAAGTTATGTCTCTGCTTTTTAATACGCTGTCTAGGTTTGTCAAGGCTTTCCTTCCAAGGAGCAAGCATCTTTTAATTTCATTGCCGCAATCACCACCTGCAGTGATTTTGGAGCCCGGAAAAATAAAGTCAGCCACTGTTTCCACTGTTTCCCCATCTATTTGCCATGAAATGATGGGACCGGATGCCATGATCTTAGTTTTCTGAATGTTGAGCTTTAAGCCAACTTTTTCACTCTCCTCTTTCACTTTCATCAAGAGGCTTTTTAGTTCCTCTTCACTTTCTGCCATAAAGGTGGTGTCATCGGCATATCTGAGGTTATTGGTATTTCGCCCAACAATCTTGATTCCAGCTTGTGTTTCATCCAGTCCAGCATTTCTCATGATGTACTCTGCATATAAGTTAAATAAGCAGGGTGCCAATATATAGCCTTGACGTACTCCTTTCCCTATTTGGAACCAGACTGTTGTTCCATGTCGGGTTCTAACTGTTGCTTCCTGATTTGCACACAGATTTCTCAGGAGGCAGGTAAGGTGGTCTGGTATTCCCATCTCTTTCAGAATTTTCCACAGTTTGTGGTGATCCACACAAAGGATTTGGCATAGTCAACAAAGCAGAAGTAGATGTTTTTCTGGAACTCTCTTGCTTTTTTGATGATCCAGTGAATGTTGGCAATTTGATCTCTGGTTCCTCTGCCTTTTCTAAATTCAGCTTGAGCATCTGGAAGTTCACAGTTCATGTATTGCTGAAGCCTGGCCTGGAGAATTTTAAGCATCAGTTTACTAGCATGTGAGATGAGTGCAATTGTGCAGTAGTTTGAGCATTTTTTGGCATTGCCTTTCTTTGAGGCTGGAATGAAAACTGACCTTTTCCAGTCCTGTGGCCACTGCTGGGTCTTCCAAATTTGCTGGCATATTGACTGCAGCACTTTCACAGCATCATCTTTCAGGATTTGAAATAGCTCAACTGGAATTCCATCAGCTCCACTAGCTTTGTTCATAGTGATGCTTCCTAAGGCCCCCTTGACGTCACATTCCAGGATGTCTGGCTCTAGGTGAGTGATCACACCATCATGATTATCTGGGTCATGAAGATCTTTTTTGTACAGTTCTTCTGTATATTCTTGCTACCTCTTCTTAATATCTTCTGCTTCTGTTAGGTCCATACCATTTCTCTTTTATTGAGCCTATCTTTGCATGAAATGTTCCCTTGGTATCTCTAGTTTTCTTGAAGAGATCTCTAGTCTTTCCCATTCTATTGTTTTCCTCTATTTCTTTGCACTGATCACTGAGGAAGGCTTTCTTCTCTCTCCTTGCTATTCTTTGGAACTCTCCATTCAAATGGTCTATCTTTCCTTTTCTCCTTTGTTTTTTGCTTCCCTTATTTTCACAGCTATTTGTAAGGCCTCCTCAGACAGCCATTTTGCCTTTTTGCATTCCCTTAATAGATTTCAAAAATTCCCATCTATTTTGAGACTTTTTATGATAATTCATTACTGAATATTGCACCAAATCCACATCTCCATCTGTTGAGATGATACTATGATTTTTCCTATGATTTGTTAATATGATAAATTACACTATGAATGTCTTAAGACACTCATACACCCCTAGGATAATCCCAACTTGCTCAGGTTTTTCTATCTGCTAGACTGAGTTGGCTAATACTTGTTTAGGATTTTTGTAACTATATTCTTGAGTTAGACCAACAAGTTAATTTCCTTTCTCATATGGTCCACTGTTGTGTTTGATTTGGCTGGAGAGTGATCCCTTTGTCTATACTCTGGAATAGGGTGTATGAGATAAAAAAATGGTTGCTGTTGTTGTCAGTAAAATATGACATCAGAACCATCTGGGCCTCAGTTTTCCTTGAAACAAGATTTTTTTAATGATTTTACTTCTTTAAATGTTACAGGATTATTCACTTTCTAATTCTTAAAGTCATTTTTGATAAATGCTATTTTTTAGACAGTTATTCATTTTTCCTAATAAATTTTCACATTTATTGCCATAAAGGTGTTCAAACCCCCCTTATGATATTAATCTCTGCAAAGGAAATCTTTTTCCATTCCTAATACTGTTTGTGTCATCACTGTGGTTTTCCTTCATCAATCTCACCTGACATTTGTCAAGTTTAATTCTCTTTTCAAAAAGCCAACTTTGATCTTTTTGTGTCTCTGGATTATATGCTTGCTTTCTGTTCAATTTGTGCCTGCTCATCTCCTTCCATTTACTTTCTTTGGGCTTATCCTATTCTTTTTCT